AGAGAGGGGTTTTGGGGCTGTCCGTGGCAGCACCCGCCCACCCACCCGCCCTTGTGGCACCTTTTGTTCCAGCTCCAATACTTGGCAGCTCTCGCCGGGACGTGCCCGGGGAGGCTGGAGGTTTGCAGCGCAGTCCTGTGACTGCTCACCCTCCCGTTTATCTCTTGGCTCTAGTTTGAACTTGGACACCTTTGGATTTTCCAAAGGGGATTTCCACGGGAAGAGGAAGCATGCGCCCAGGAACATGTGCTGCTGCCTTCCAACCCTGAAATTCAGGCATGAGGCCCCCCCTCCCTCCCCACTGCAGGAGCTACAGCTCTCCTTGTCCAGTTCACAGCAGTGGAGAATGTGGCTTCAGTTACTCATGCCAGTTTCTCTCCAGCATTCAGGCAGACAGAATCACTTTGCTCAAATCCTCACCTGCACCTGATTGTCTAATGGCAGCATGTTGCAGCGCAGGACTGATTTTAGCCCCGGATTTTAGCCCGTTGTGTGACCATGTAAAGGATAGGTGGCATGAAGGGTGACTGTGCCCTGTTCCTTCTGTGCCATAACCCTCTGGACAGTGATGGGGTGCGGCAGAGCTGCTGACGCAGGACCAAGCTCTGCCAAGAGTGTTGGCCAGGGGACTTCTGTGCTGCTGGCACCCGGCCCAGCTCAGGCCGCCAGAGAAGGCCATGGCTCCAGGTTGCACAGGGACACCCATTCCCTTTTCTGCCCTGCTCTTCCTGAGGGGTTCCTGACACATGACCTGCTCTAAGGAGGGCCTTCTGGTATGAGGAAGAGCCCCACAGCTGGCTGGGTGCTTCCTAGTTTGCATGGAAGCCAAAGGCTGTTGTGAAAAGGATTATATAAAATTGTCATCCTGAGTCACTTTTATTTCTCTTCCACTCTCATTGCATGAGCATAGCCTGGGTTTATGCACTGAAACTTCCTTCTGGCAGACAGGGCCATGCCTGCATTGCAAACCTGCAAAGTTTTCCAGGTGTGGGGCTGGGTGAGAATCTGCCAAACCCTTCTTCTTCTTGGGGACTCACCCTGCACTCTGAACAACCACTAAATCTGAGCTGGGGATGGGGACTGGGGGGCTTTATCTACCTGCTGCTTACAGGGGTTTTTAGCCAGCAAATAATCCCAAGCGACTTTCAGCTTTTCTTGACTAAACACGACATTGCTACAGCTGGAAGTAGGAAAGGCGATGTTCATTAGCTACACTTCAGTTTCCCCCCTGCAAAATAGGAGCTGGAAGCGCTGTCAAGGCCCTGCGGAGGCATTCACCAGCTATAGATATCAGTGTTCTGGAAGTGCTTGGGTACACGCCTGGACCTGGTATGCAAATATTTAAATAGATACCATCTGAATGCAAATACTTCTTATTTGAAGGCCAGAGGGAGGGAGGAAAGTGCAGTTATCAGTACTGCCAGGTTGGTCAAGTAGTTTTGGAGGCGCCAGTGCGTTCCTTGCTGCCCATTGCAACATTTAGACAACAGTATCTTAGGAAGGTGCTGCTACAATCTTGTAAGAATTCTATAATGACTTAATAAATTAAGCAAACGCTTCACTGTACAAGGAAGTTTTGCAGCTAAACAAATCACTGCCCAGGTACTGCATGCTGGTTATGCTACTGTTTGCCTCTGCCAGTCATGCAAAAGTTCGTACGCAGAGGAACCACAGGTAAAGCAAGAAGGACAGAGACTAATGTGAGAATACGTGTTTGTGAGCAAAATAGGTTGGGGCATGTTATGTATTTGTGCATGGCTAATGCAGGGCTATTCAGTGCAGAGCTTTGCCTGTTCACTCGATGATACAACGAGATTGTCCACTGTGGGTCGCCCCCCTGTACCCACAGTTTCAAACATGTGCCCTTAACTGCTGCATGTCCACTCTGTCTCTGGCTTTTCCACACCTATGCCTTTATAAGGATCTTCTGAGAGTAGTTTTGGTGATAACCTGCCTTCATGCTACCCCCTTGGCACTCCAGCAGATACACTGCATGGCCCCATTTGTAGGACTCGGAGCAAGAACTCCTTATGCATTTATTCCACCAGCATCATTTTTCCCTCGTTCAGCCACCACGGCTGCTATTAGCAGAGCACGCTAGCTTGCTCTTGCTCATCCTCCTGCCAGTGCTTCCTCGTGCTGGCCCAGGGTTCCAAATCCTCTCCCAGCACCTTCATCACCTGCCCTGGGTGTCTCAGCAGGCTTCATGAGCAGCCATGCTGCTGCAGATCAAGGTCCTGTGAAGTTCAGTTTTAGATTCCTGACTCTGACTCTCTCTCCATTAGCCTCCTTCCTTTCCTCAGCTCCTGCCATGCCTATGTCCTCCGTTCTTACTGCCCTTGGCACCTGTAACCACCTCTGCCCACTCTTTACTCTCTTCCAGGGGGAGCATCTTTCCGCAGGTCTCCCTCCCTCTTCTGCAACACCAGCTCACCATGAACTCATTCGCCCATCATGACATTGCACAGCATGAGTCTGCATTTTTGTTTCCAGCCTTTCCCTGCTGCCTGTGCTTGTAAATCTCTTTGATAACCCGCAGGGATATTCCCACACTTCCTTATATTGCGCACAAAGAGCTGAACTCCCCGTTTCCTCCCACACCCTTCTCTTCCTCCTTGGGCTCCAACTCTCTGCAGGCCTCCCTTGCCCAGACCACAACCCAAGGGCTACCTTCAGTCCATGCTCTCCTGCCTTTCAGCTCACTTAGCATCAGCCCTGGACTTCTCAAGAAACTTACGGTGGTGACAGATAAGATGCAGTCTGCCAGGGTGGCAATAGTGGAGAGCAGAGCCCAAGGCCTGATTTTCCCCCAGTAAATCGGAACTCTTCTCTTCTGTTCACTGCAGCTTTGGAAAGTGTCAAAAGCAAGAGTAAAAAGCAAGCCTGTACCTAGGGACATGCACGGGGAGGCTGCGTGCTCCCACTGGCTCCAGTGCCAGCCTGACCTTTGCAGTTTTGAGTAAACACCTTTCACCGCCATCCCTGCCTGCTCGCTCTGCCGCTCTCGGGTTATGGTGCAGCATGCTCCTCTCACAGCGTGGGCGGTTTGGGCTGTTCGGGCTGTTCGACAGATGGGTGTGGGTGTCCCAGTTCACTCAGCAGAGAGACGTGAGACTGGTAGCCCCGGGACCTGCCTGCCCACCTGCCTGGACATCATGAGGAGCCACAGTCCTAACTCAGGGTCCTTAACACTTGCTGTCTTCCTCCTCATCCTTCAGCTTTTTGATGTTAGGAAGGGGTTCCTTATTGACTGCTAAGGGGTTCCTTATTGACTTATTGACAGTGTTTACCAACTGTGCGCCCTGCATCCAGCTGGTGGACCATCTACCTGCCTGCCCCAGCAGGACTCAATGTACCAGGAGGCAGTGAGGCCACCAGGACCCTTAATCTATCCTCAAAAGTGGAAACCTCACTGCTGCTGGCTTTGGCCCACAGCAAAGTCAGTTCAGATTTGGATGAGCAGTGGTTGGGTGAGGAAAGAGAAAGGCGGAACCAGCAACAAAACCTGAGGAAAGACACTGTGATCTCTGACAAGGAGGAGGAGGAGAAGGATCATTTGTTACTTGTTTTAATGGAAAATCTTCAATGATGGTGGACTTTGGGCCAGGCAGGGGCCCAGCACAGATCATTTTTCTGCAGAGGCTGAGCTGTGGAAATAATTAAGCATCTGGTTGTTCTTAGAAGAAAGAATTGCAGAACGGAGTGCAGAGATGGCAGGGAGGACCCTCTCCCTGGACAAAAGCCCACTCTCACTTCAGGGGAATGGAGGAAGGGCTTTTCCAGCATTGCTGTGCTTCCAGTGCCGTTGCTTTGCTGGAGAGCGAGAGCTGCCTGGGATCCCCAGAGACGAGGGAGCAGGAAAGTCCTGTCCCCTTTTGTCAACTGGGACGGCACACTCCCCTTCTCTAGCAAGCGCCTGTCACAGCTCTGGCACCTCTCACCTCCTCATCCCTTCAGACAGCTCTCTGAGGCACTAGTATCAGGGCCAAAAGACTCCCTTTAAACCCTGACACATTTATCAGGCCATAACGTAAGAAGCCGAAGTCCAGAGGACTTGAAACAGAAACTCCCCCCCAGCACGCTGGACATTCAACTGCCCTCCCTCCTCTTCCTCCAGTGCTCAGATTTTCCCAGGACCGTCTCCTTGTCCAATTTTCCAAACAGGACTTTCCAGTCCCTGTCAGAAGAGAGCGGGGATTTTCCCTGCTCATTCCTTTCTGCAGTTTTACCCTTTTACAGCAGCCACGAGTGATGGCACCAGGCTCTATTGCCTCTCCAGTAGCAGGCCTGCAGCCTCCTGCCCGCCCACCGCCAGCCCTGGGGGCTTCCCCGCTCCCAAGGAACAGGTCTGCACCTCTTCCATTGAAATCCGTTTCTCATTCCCAGTTTTAGCTGATTCAGATTAATTTTCCTGCACATCTTTCAAGGGAAGCTCTTCATCCCTCCCGCTGAAAACGGCTTTAAACTGAAGGAGGGGAGATTTAGATTAGATACAAGGAAGAAATTTTTTACATTGAGGGTGGTGAGGCACTGGAACAGACGGCTCAGATAAGTTGTGGATGCCCCATCCCTGGAAGTGTTCAAGGACAGGTTGGATGAGGCGT